GTTACAATCCATGAAAGATAGAAAGGATAAGCTAGATTTCATTAAAGGTAAAGCTGCTGTTCTGTGAAAGACAATGTCGAGAGAGTGAGAAAATGAACCATAGACTTGAAGAATATGTTTATAAAAGACACATCTGATAAAGGACTATTATCCAAAATCTAAAAAGAATTCTTAAAACTCAACAATAAGAAAATGAACAACTTGATCAAAAAATGAGCCAAAGACCCTAACAGATCCCTCACCAAAAAAGGTAAAGAGATGGCAAATAAGCATATGAAAAGATTCCACATCATTTGTCATCAGGAAAATGCAAATTAAGACAATGATCAGGTACCAGTACACACCTACCAGAATGGCCAAAAATCAGGAATACCTACAGCTCTAACCCTGGGGAGGATGTGAAGCAACAGGAATTCTCATCTCTTGCTGGTGGGAACGAAAAATGGTATAACAGTTTGGAGCACAGTTTGGCAGTTTCTAACAAAACTAAACATCCTCTTACTATGTGATCCCCCTTGGTATCATGCCCCCTTGGTATTTGACCAAAGGGGTTGAAAACTTATATCTATGCTAAAAATTGTACATGGCTGTTTATAGCAGCTTTATTCATAATTGCCAAAACGTGGAAGTAACTAAGATGTACTTCAATAGGGGAATGGATAAATAAATTGTGGTACATCTAAACAATAGAATATTATTCAGCACTAAAAAGAAATGAGATATAAAGTCAGGAAAAGACACAGAGGAAACTTAATAAGTGAAAAAGGCCCATTTAAAATTTCTCGGTCAAATTACATAACATTCTGGAAAAGGTAACACTATAGAAACAGTACAGAGATCTATGGTTGCTAAGAATTATGAGGGGAGGATGGACAGAGCAGAGGATTTTTAGGACAGTGAAAATACTCTGTGTATCATACTCTGTGTGATACCACAGTGACAGATACATGTCATTATACATTTTTTCTAAAACCATAGAATGAATTGCAATGTAAACTATGGTTTTGGGTAATTACAATGTGTCAATGTAGACTTATCAATTGTAACAAATTTATCACTCTGGTGGGGCATGTTGATACTAGAGGAGGCTCTGCATGTGTCGGAGCAGTTGTGTACATGAGAAATTTTTGTACCTTTCCCTTAATTTTGCTGTGAACCCAAAACTGCTCTAAAAAAATAAGGTAAATTTTAAAGAATGAAAATACATCAAAATTTAAAAACTGTATCCATTCTAATTTTAAAATGTGTGCTGGGAACTTACCTTTTTTGTAAGTTTGTAGACTTAGATTTCCTCCAAGGGGTTAATCATGTAATTTGGAGTAACTGAATGTATAAGATACTTTGAAAGTTATAAACTAAGAATATTAAGCAATTGGCACATTTAGCAATGATGGAACACCCAACAGTCTTTAGTTTAGAGGATTACACTAGGTCTGTTTCATTGCAATCGATAAAAGTGTGTGGAATAGCCCTGGCTGATGTGGCTCACTTGGTTGGAGCTTTGTCCTATAAACTGAAAGGTTATGGGTTTGGTCCCTGCTCTGGTCACATGCCTGAGTTGTGGGTTTGATTCCCAGTCGGGACTCAGCAACTGATCAGTGATTCTCTCTCAAATCAATGTTTCTCTTCCTCTCTCTTTCCCTCCCTTCCTCTCTCTCTGAAATCAGCAAACATGTCCTAAGGTAAGGATAAAAAAATAAAACTGTGTGGAATAAATAAATGAATGAACATGCATTTTTATGGGACTAGATTTGCAGATAAAGCCTGTAAAGAGGTAATTAAGTTAAAATGGGGTCATCAAGGGAGGTCCTGAGTACAATATGACTGGGGGTCCCTACAAGAAGAGATTAGGATGAAGAAATACACAGACCAAGGGGCAACCACATGAAGACACAGAAAGAAGACAGCCATCTGCAGGCCAAGGAGCAAGGCTTCAGAAGGAACCAACCCTGCAGACACCTTCATCTTGAACTTCAATGAGAATATAAATTCCTGTTGTTTAAGCCACTCAGTCAATGTGTGGTACTTTGTTATGGCAGCCCTAGCAAACAAATGCATATATATTGTATTTGACAAGCCTAGAAATTGAATTCAACAATTATGTATGTATGTATGTATGTATGTATGTATGTATTTATTTATTTATTTTACTCCTCACCCAAGGACTTTTTTTTTCAATACATAGCTTTTATTGCATCTTTAAAATTACACAAATAAATGTAAGGAATATCTCAAGTAAGTGTGAGGAATCCTTCAGCATTTTGCTGTTTCTGTAGCTGGACAACTTAGATCTTATTAATCAGCCTGCTGAACTGTGCCTTTTTCAGAAACATAGATATTATCCAAAATTTTTCTGATACCCTTGTTTTTAACTGTTGTGGCTTGCTGAATCAAAGCAGCTGAATTTGATACAAGTTCAATGTCATTTCCCTCCAGAATCAACTCATCTTTCTGGGCCTGAGAAACTGAGCAAGCAATACCTGATCTCATCCAAACCCTGCGGATATATTTTTTGCCCAAGGAATTTCTGATTTGAACAAGAGAACTATTCTCCTGAATAACAACATTGATGGGAGGGTGAAGGCAGACAAACCTCATCTTGTAACGGAAGACCAGTGTAATACCCCTGATCACGTTCTGTACATGACTGCAGATTGTGCAAATGGCGGCCAGCTCCTCTCTATTTCCCCTCCATTTGTCCACTCAGAGCCTCTTCTTTTTCTTTCCAAGGAGACTGAGCTCTACGTTGATGTGGTTGAAGTCCCTCTGCAGGGTGCCTCTGGGGCTGTTCCCAATAACTGTGCGCCCCTTCAGAGATGTTGGCATTTTCGGGGATGTTGACAGTCTGATTGCTGAGAATGGTCTTCATCCTCGACGTAGAAGTGGCAAAGAGTCCAAGGACTATTTTTTTCATTGCTTTTTGAGAGAGAGGAAGTGAGAGAGAAAAACACCAATGTAAGAGAGAAACATCGATTGGTTGCCTCCTCTACGCTCCTAGATAGGCCAGGGATTGTATATGCCTGGACTGGGGATCAAATCCACAATCTAGGTATGTGCCCTGACCAGGAATCGAATTTGCAGCCTTTCAATTATGGGACAATGCTCCAACCAACTGAGCCACACCAGCCAGTGGAACAATTATTTATTGAACATCCACTATACCACTGTACTGTACTAGATGATGGCTGGATGATTAAGTGACCTCCAGTGAGGCAGACAAGCATGATACTGAGGAATGATTTTTGCATAGGCTCAGAAATGTATATGCACTATTGTTTTTATTCCTCTATCTATTTTGCCTAAAAGAACGCTATTTTTGGCACAAACTTAGTACCTGGCCAAAGTATCATTGTTTTAACAAAGGCTTTTTAGTTGCAAGTAAGAGAAATCAACAGAAAGTAGCTCTAAGTAAAGAAGTGTAAGGAGGGTAATTTTGTTGTTGTGTTTTTTTTAGAGATCACAGAGTAATCTCTTGGTAATGCAACTGGGCCACATAAGCTCAGAGACCAGTTCTCTAAGAATCATCAGAATCAAAATTACTCCTCTCTGCCACTGCCACCCCCAGTGGTTTCTCATCTTTGATCTCTACAGGTTTGTTTTCTTCTCATTTTCTGCAGTCCAGCCTTCTGTGCTTCTCTGTGGACATGGTGGAAACTGACATTACTCCAGCCTTGGGTCCCCAATACTTCCCCAGCCCCAGCACCACTTATCTTCTGACTAGTGACCTATTGTCCTGGATTCAAGTTCTAGGAGAGAGTCTAGTGGTCCACTTGGACCAAATTCCATGTCCATCCCTTGTCCTGTGGCTTTGATCAGAGATGGTGAGATAACAGGACACACAAGCTACTAGAGCTGGAGAAAAGAGTTCTCCAGCACAAGAAGTGTCAATTGTGCAGATATTCCAACAGTTTCCTCTTATAAGCATCAAAGTAGAATTTAATAATAATTGAAGGAAGGGAAATTTATTCCAATCATCTACAAAAGTCTATTTTCATTGATTTAAACCTGTGGTTTTCAGGCCTGGCTGCACATCAGAGTCACCTGTGGAGTTTAAGAAATATGCCAGTGCCTGGTGCCCACCTCATACCATAACATCAGAATCTGTGGAGGTGGAGCCCAGGTAATTTTTTAAAAGGTTTTTGAACACTGAAGATGATCCTAATGTTTTGCCAGGATTGCAAATTACTTATTTAGACCTCATATCAATATAACTTGAAACTTTAGATTTTATGATTTTGTATCTTATTCTGTTTTTAAAATATATAACCCTTATTATATTTTTTTTCATTACCATTTAGTCCCCTTATAACTCCCTCCCCCCAGCAATCACCACCCTGTTGTCCATGTTGTATCTTATTCTTAAAAAATGTGATCATTCCCTGGCTGGTGTGGCTCAGTGGACTGAGTGCTGGCCTGTGAACCAAAGGGTCACCGGTTCGATTCCCAATCAGGACACATGCCTGGGTTACAGGCCCAGTGTGGGGTAAACTAAAGGCAACCACACATTGATATTTCTTTCCCTCTCTGTCTTCCTTCCTTTCCCTCTGTTTTCCCTTTATTTTTATTTAAAAATAAATAAATTGTTTTTGAAAATGTGATCGAATTAGGAATCATGTGCCTTTGCAAAAATGTATGGCAAAATCAGCATCATCATTGAGTATTTTGAAGAGAGAAGAGCTTCCTTCAGGAAGAATAGTATTAATTTGAAAATAGCCATATATACATATATCTGTATGATTAGGTTCTGAAAAAAATTGGTCATCAGATTCCTTAGAAAGTAATTGTCTTCTAGAGAAATGAGAAACTTGGCACTCCTCACAAGTCTGTGCTGTCTCTGCAGTGGACACCTTCAGCGGTCTTCCTGCATCTCCTCAGATCCCCTTTTAGTGTTTCTGTGCTCCCTCTCTAGGCTTCTGTGTACAATGGCTTCCAAAGGCCCACACCTACAATTATTTTTCTGGGCTACTAAAAGTTTTGCCCATCCACATAAAGAACAGAAAATGCCTGGGAGTTCATTACCTGCCACCCTGACCCCAACAGGTATGAGTGAGGGCATGACAGCCAGGCTCCCTTACTAATGACAAACTCTTAGTAAAGTTTTTACTGTTAAGTTTCCTTCAGTGTTAGGCTAAAACAACCCTTTTTCCTTGGCTATTTTTTTTTTAGTCCTTCTACAAAAAGCACGCATACACAAATCCTTATCTCAGGTATACTTCAGAAAAACTGAGTCTAAGACAGTCAACTTTCTGGAATTTTACTTCTGTCTAATATTAAAATTCTACATGGCTTTTAAAAATATTTTTTATAACTTTTCAGAGGTGGACAATCAAGGCTTTATTTATTGTCATTTTTAGAAAAAGAGTAGAGAAGGTAGCCCTTGAGAAGTTGCTCAGTCACTAGGAAACTTGGGAGCTCCTGGGGACAAAAAGTTTGGAAGAACGAGAGTAAGGAAGTAAGCAGGGAGGCAGTTATTGACAGTTGTGAGCAGAGTAGAGGTAAATCAGGCTGGTTGGTGTGCATTGGTGTTGGGGAACCTGAGGAAGGGTATTTAGAACAAAAGAAAAAGAGTAATGATATGAACAGAGGCATGACATGACCTTCAAGTCATGTGAAAGTGCACAGTATAATACAGCAACTTTCACCTTCCTCATCTCATGGCACACATAAACTAATTACTAAAATTCTGCCACTTACCAAAAAACATATTTTTGCCAATCTGACAAAAAAATAGGTATAATTTTGATTCTTTTATACCAGACAGCTATTGTTGTGTTGATTGTTGTCATTTTTTAATTTGACAATCTAAGGGGAAAGAGGTCAGTGCCTCTGACTAAATAGCCAGGTATTGCATGTTTTAAAAATTCTGAAAAATCACTGCTATAATAAAATGTGAAATACGTTGGAGTTTTCTGGAGCTGCAGGCATGACAGCTGTCACAAGGTGGCGCTCTGACTACATTCACTTTTGTTTCCAAAGAACTTTCCATTTTCCCTCTCTTTGCTTGTAGTCTTTAAGGGCTCTAACTAGAGGTCTGTCACACTCCAGCCAAAGTCCGCCAACCTGTTATTAGTGCTACGCCTTCCTTCTGGAGCAATGACAGTGTAAATCTCAGCAATGGCAGAAAGGGGACAAATACAGCTGTTGTGCATTTTAGAATAATTGCTGCAAGCCATTTGGAGACTGCTTTACAGTTGCAGCACATATGCAAACTTATACAATATTTTCCAATATATTTTCCTTAACACTTTGTTACATGACCTTGTTAATCCAGTCAACTCTTGTTAATCTGGAGTCATCTGTACAACGCCCCCTCCTGCTTCCCCCGCCCCTTACCCCCCCCCCCCACACACCTTTAAAAAGTGAGGCTTGCCAGTCTTCTGGAAGGTACTATGCTCTCTCATTTCACCATCCTACCTTTTCACATGCTATTTCTTCTGCTGGGAGCTCCATTACCCCTTCTCCTCACCTAGTTTACTGTCTTTACCAGGACAAAGGAGGCTGTTTGTGAAAACTTCTCCTACCCCACCCCAAGTCTAGGCTCATTTTCTTTTACCTTCATCTTCCTCAGCTGCTGGCATTTATTATAAGTGTTTCTTATCTGTCACCTCCACCCCAAGTTCCTCGAACTTTCTTATCATTATGTATCCCCAGCATCTACCACAATTCTCCACATAGTGAGCAGATGAATGCATAAATGCATAAAACAGGCTGGAAAAGATCTAAGACCTTGCCCCATCTTGAGTCCACAGTACACATGGAAATAATCCAGAACTTTAGAACTGAACCAGAATATCTTTTTTTTAAAGATTTTATTTGTTTTTAGAGAGAGGGGAAGGGAGGAAGAAAGAGGGAGAGAAACATCAATGTGTAGTCACCTTTCATGCACCCCCAACTGGGGACCTGGCCCTCAAACTAGGCATGTGCCCTGACTGGGAATCAAACTGGTGATCCTTTAGTTCACAACAAGACTTCAAGGCCCATAAGCTGTACAAAAGCCCTGGACAGCATGGTTTACTGTGTGAGACTACCTGCCTTAAGTTGCAGCCTAAGCACTTTGCCGGAACTGGTGTGTAGCTGTGGGCATACATAGAAGCAGCAAGCTCACAGTTCTATGTTCCTCTGCATTTTAGGAGGGATACCTCACTCCTGGTAACTGAGATTGCTGAATTTTAGGCACCTTCTGAAAAAAATCAAAGAGAGGTGTGAAATACCTGTATCTGGGTCCCATGTTTATCCTTTGCATTGTTTGCTAGCTGGGTTTGCAACAAACCATAAAAATATAAAGCAATCTCACTCTGAACCCAGCTTGTCCTTCTCACTCAGCCTTTGTGAGATGGGTGGTGAAAGGAAAGCATATTGTATGTAGTTGTGAAAAAGCTAGACCCTCTTTGCTGTCATCTTTCAAGCATAAACTGAAGTTCTTTTCTGCCCACTTAATTATTCCATCCCTCTCAAACATTCAATGAGCTCTCATGAAGTACCAAGCTCTGGGCTGCAGACACCAAGATGAGTAAGATCCAGTGCTCTGTCCTGGCTGGTGTGGCTCTGTTGGTTGGAGCATTGTCCTGTAAACCAAAAGGCTGCCAGTTTGATTTGTCAGGGCATGTGTTTGAATTGCATGTTCGGTCCCCAGTTGGGACACAGGTAACTTTGGTCCCTGGTCAGGATACATGGGAGAGGCAACCGATGGATGTTTCTCGCATCACTGTTTCTCTCTCTCTCTCTCCTCTCCCCCTCTCCCCTCCCACCCTCCCTTCCCCTCTCTCTAAAATCAATAAGCATGTCCTCAGGTAAGGATAAAAAAAGATACAGTGCTTTATCTTTAAGGAATTCACAGAATTGTGGAAGAGATGGGAAAGTAAATAGTCACAATACAGCTGAGTAAGTGTGATCATGGGGATATTCACGAGACCCTGTACATTTAGGGAAGTGAGCTGTGGTGTGCTGGTAGATGTTTAGTGACCTGTGTGGGGAGGCCCTGATTTGTACAATTTCTGATTTCCACGTGGCACATACTCCCATCCTGGCTGATTCCAGGCTACTACTCTCTTGGTGTTGAGGCACACAGTTGGGAAGGCATGCACACAACTGGCACTGGTGCAGCAGTAAGACCTGGCACCAGATCACCACCATGGCTTTTGCCTTGGGAGGCCCTGTGCAGAGAACCCACCTATGCTGTTCCTGGGCTTCTGACCTACTCAGCTCATACTTGAATTTTGTTCCAAACTGGTAAGTGTGTGGTAATTTGTTATGCAGTCATAGAAAACTAAACAGAGCTTTTGGTACTCTTTCTACAGACGTAAAAACTAAGGCTTTGAAACAGTAAACAATTTGTCCAAGGCCTTGAGCATCTAACAGTGATCTGGGAGGCAAAATAATATGTGTCTGACTTTAAAGCCTGTAACCGTAGCTCATGTGTTCTATTACTTCCCATAAAAAACATGTCATGTAAATCATGACGGTCAGACTCATGGGCATTCTATTTCTTTATTTTTATTTTTTTCAGGGACCAGAAAAATGTGCATTTGTTATTATTAATGAAATTTGAGCCAAAAGAAAATCAAATATTGAGTGTAGCTTTGGATTTGAAGTGGTGCCCCACTGGTTACCTTGATATTTATTTCAGAGGACAATGCTTTAGAGTAAAAGAAATTTCACATGGGAATCTCCTCATTAAATATCTGAGTTTGGCCATAGTGTCCATTTCTGCTTTCCTCCTCTAGCCTGACCAGATGTGCTCAGAAAATTTGGTTCCCTCTGAATATATACATTTGTCAAAATTCCTGTCACTTTTAGCAAGACTGCCAAGGGAGCAAACAAAGGGAGTTGGTGATTAACTTCAAAGAACTTTGTTGGAGAGGAATAAAGATATTTAAAGGCCTATTTTGTGAACTAATTGCATTTGCATATTTATGGGATTTACTGATATAGCAGTAATTAAAAACTATTTAGCAGTCTTAAAGGACACGTAACTCAGTTGCTGTTTGCATAATAAACACTTTCTTATTATATTTGCATAATAAACCCTCTCCCCCTGTTTTCTCCAAAAGACACTGGTCCGTCTAAAAGGTGCCATATCTTATTTGGAAATAATGGAGAAACAAGTGCCCAGGCTCATGGGAATGTGGAGAAGAGAGCTCAGAAAGAAGTGTATTTCTACATACTCTCTTAATGTTAGGCCTATCTTGAACTGCTGTCAGAGAATGGTAGTTCAAACCTCAGATTAATGTCTTTCTTTCTCCCAGGTGATATTTAAGAAACTTGAATGCTTAGCCCCCAACGATTGTGATATTTGATTTAAACACTAATCTGCTTGAAGGGCCTGAATAGAATTCCCCCCACCCCAAATATTTATCCTTTCGAAGGAGATATGTAAGTGGGGTGAAATCCTTGACTAATGGATTATAAGAAATAGTGTGAGTACTGTAATCAAAACAGCCTAGTACTGGCATAAAAACAGGCACATGGACCAATGGAACAGAACAGAGAGCCCAGAAATAAACCCAAGTCTCTACGGTCAATTAATATTTGACAAAGGGAACAGCAACATAAAATGGAGTAACAATAGCCTCTTCAACAAATGGTGTTGGGAAAACTAGACAGCTACGTGCCAAAAAGAAAGAAACTGGAGCAGCAACTTACACCATTTATAAAAATAAATTCAAAGTGGATAAAAGATTTAAATATAAACCATGAAACCATTAAAGTCCTAGAGAAGAACATAGGCAGGAAAATCTCAGATATATCATGCAGCAACATTTTTACTGATATGTCCCTTAGAGCAAGGGACACAAAGGAAAGAATAAACAAATGGGATCTCATCAAAATAAAAGCTTCTGCACAGCTAAAGAACAAAGTATTAAAATAAAAAGAGAACCAACTGTATGGGAAAACATATTTGCTAATGATACCTCAGACAAGGGTTTAATCTCCAAAATATATAAAGAACTTACACGACTCCACTCTAAGAAGACAAGCAATCCAATTAAAAAATGGGCAAAGGACTTGAACAGACACTTCTCCAAGGAGGACATACAGAG